TAATTCCTCCACTGCACTGTATCACCTCTTTAGTTTCTCAACAGCAAATTTTGAAAGTGAACATGCATTTCTATCGTGTCTTAAACAGGAGAATTTCTATTGTGTCCTATGAGTTCCCTGCAAATTACTTTGTTTTGACAGGCAGTTTTATAGTAAGAGAAGATAGCAAAGTTCAGGGAGGCTTCGCCACTATTATTTTAGATCAAATCCCTGGAGCATCTTAAGAAGGAAATGTGCACAAAGCCCTGTTTCACAAGATCAGTGCTCAGGTCCCATCTATTGTCCCATATTTTGCTTCTTGACATTAAGCATATTGCCTTTTGTGCCCCAGTTACCCTGTATGACACTTCTCAGTCTGCAGGAGTCCAGACTAAGAGACTCAGTACATCAGGGACTCAGCAAATGAAGATGTATTTTGTTTAGCCAGAAAAGATTAGGACCGTAAAAGACTTTTGGGTCTATGTGTAGAAATGAGGGGAGTGCCACAGAAAATGCCATATGAAATTAGGAACAGTTGGGGAGCCAGAGTTATCTCACAGTTATTGTCTGATGTGTCTTTAAGACACCTTAGGGGTTCTGGAGTTTTACTTCATGAGGGTGTTTAGCTGGCTGATGCATTTGCAGGAACATGCTCGAAGGACGCCAGTTTCTCCCTCCATCCCCCTCTCAAAAATAAAAATAAAGAGGGAAAGGAGAACTTTTACAGCTCTTTATTTCTGAAAAAAAAAAGACATTTTTCTTTAAGCCTACTTCTTTAAGACATCTCTCTGAAAATGGCCACCCATATCAGTAACATAAAGACCAATATATGAAAAACTCCATCTCAAGTCCTGAAAATACTTCGGGGTTGATCCTTTTCTCTTTTTTTTAGTCACTGGAAGGGAAAATCCATAGTTTTAACAACTCTACATCAGGTTTAGGCCGCCATATGTCACCTGCTGGAAAAGGAGGTCTCCCGGCCCCGGTGAAGACCTCCTTTGTTCCCCATGTGCCTAACCATGTGATCAAAACAGCACAGGTGATCCCGATTTCTTCTTTGCTACCTCTCAAAAGGGAGCTGGGCACAGAGTTTACTTTCTGCAGGCAGACCCAAGTCAGTCCTAATATTCAGATCTGTGTTATGAAATCAATAAAACCCAGCAGTTCTTATTCAGGCTCCCACTGTGTAAGGAAGTACACAAAGAGAGGGGGAATAAAAAAGACCATATTTTTCCTTGAGAGCTTCTGGGGCAGCTGTAATTGCTCGTGCAGTGGAGAAAGCTGCAATTTAATGGTGAAAAGCTATTATGACATTTCCTAGCACCTTGTGTGTAGTATCTCCTGGCAGATCAGTACAGAACCTATGCTTAGTTTTTCACTGCTTTTCACTAGTCCTAAAAGCAAAACCAATGAGGAAAAGGGAGCAGGAGGAAAATAACGTGGACAGCTTTTCCATGGGCTTCTTTCATCAATGAGCTAGGAATGAAATTTAAAAAAAAAATCAGCTTCCCTTCTCCTCCTATTGACCTGCTCCTCCAGGCTTATCATCCTCACCACAACTCCTTGGGGACACGTAGTTAGGCTGACTTGTTTTATCCACCAAAGCCAATAACTATTTTCTTGATGCCTCTTACATCAGTGATGTCCTTGTGGTATTAATCTACTGTCAGCTGAACTCTTACTTCTACTAACCACTGGAAGCAGATTTGATGGCTCAGGTAGATAAACCAATGCCATAAAACCTTTTTATAGACCAGAGAAATCTTACCAAAGCCAGGCTTGATTTAACACAACTTTTTAAAGACAAAATATATCCAGCACAAACTACCTTTAAAACTGTCTTCCATATATTACAGAGGAAGAAACAAAGTCCCCTCTAGTGGAAAGGTAGGGAATATGTTGAGCAGGAGATCCTGCAGGTCCTTGTCCTGGCTCTGCAGTACCTCGGTTTGCTTTCTCCATGCCCCCGTTTCCACGCACACACCATCCGGCTCATCTAATGAAAGCAGAGCTCCTGTCATTACTACCTGGATGTCTGAGCCTTGGGTCTTATATCCTGTTTTCAGCCTCTGGGATTTGTTGTTGCACTTAACGTATTCAGAGAAATCGGTCTATCTCCAATCTTGTCATTAATGATTCATTTTTGCAAAGTTTCAGCAGCTGCAGATGTAATTTTTCCCAATACAATTTCTCCACCTGGTGGTGTAAAAAGCAGCTCCCAAGCTGTTGGTCAGTGTGCTGCACCCCAGCAGTACTATTTTACATCCACCACGATCTGGCTTTCAGATTACTCCTGACCATGGTAATATGAGCTAGGGGAAAATGCACATCAGTTTTGGACCATGCCTGTAAATTTATCTCCTTTCGTGCCCACTTCAGACATTATAAGCTTTGTTAGGCAGGATTCAGTTTCCCTGAAAATCTGTAACCTCTGTAACATATTCCCTTCGTTCTACCCACAGTCACTCTGACAACTTAGAAGCAAGCTGATACAAACCCTCCGGTGAGACTGGGGTGATTTTTCTGAGGAGAAACATTTTTTTTTTTTTTAACAGAACATCTATTTTTTTCAGTAAGGCATGACCAAAAACTAGCGTGATCCAATATGTATGACTGAATATATTTGCTGCCTGATACTAGAAGAAATAAATTAAGATCAATTACAAAGGCTTCAGCAGTCCCAGATTCAGTTTGAGAGGTTTTTATTTATATATATATATATATATATATATTTTATTTTATTTTATTTTTTTTTGTGGGAAGGTGTTTGTATTGGAACCAGGAGATTAAGGAAAGTGCTATTTTACTCTATGAGCTAAATGACAAAATTATGGGGCAGATTTTCTTCATTGAAGCTTTTGGATCAAGAACATATCTGTCCCTCTTCCCTCTCACCCAATAAGTACAGACTGAGTCAGCACCTTCATTCTGCACATCCTAAGGAGCAGGATTAACAGAAACACATCATATTTCCAGTCACAGGACAGGGAAGCCATCCTTTCCACCCAAATCACAGCTGGATCCCATCCTACAGCTACTTTGCCTGTGAACTGGAGTTTATGAGACATCGATATCCACTAATTTCCCCCAAAATACACTGCTGAGCTCATTCAACCTTGTGCAGGTCCCAGAGAGTGACATCACTTCGGGCCAGCAAAGAGTATGTCCTGAATACTATTTTAAATATTTTTTTCCCTTTGTTTTCTTTGTGACTCCTTAAGAAGGAATCAATTAAACAGGGAGAGAACAGCAAAAAGCAGGTAATAGGAATATAATGATTGACACCTCTCACATTTGTGTGTGTTGGAATCAATGTGCTTTCATTAACTGACACTAGGAGTCTCTGCAGCTCCTTGAGTGAAGATGTGTTAATATGAACTGATACCTCATCAGGTGTGACACATGCACAGACACACACAGGCTGGGTTACAGACCTGTTGTCCTGCAGGGCTGCCTCCTTCCCAGTTGGCTGTGTGACTCTTGTATTCCATTTTGTTCCAGCTGAAAAAGTGGATAAAAGTCCTTTTCCTGGTCTTACGTACATCCTGGGCTATAAACCTGAAACATCTGAGACCTCTCAGGCTGAGGAGGGAATTGAAAACAGGTCCCTTGCTCCTGCCTGGAAGCTGCAACCCCGGCTCATCTTCAGCCTTTGAAAAATTAGGGGTGGGACTGAGATTCAGATTTAAACATCGATGTCTATAACACTGATATTCACACTCATCATTTGGTATCATTACAGTGGATGGAGATTTAGGGGTCCAACCGCTTGTCTGCATAAAAGGGGCAGAATCTCTGACCCTGACATCTCTCTGTGCTCCTCTAGCATGGCAGATCGTACCCGGAGGAGGTGAATTGTCACTCTTCATGCTCTGCATAAATATTTCTGTGGTTGTGAACATCTTTCCCATCCTTGATGCTCAAGTCTTACACAACCTCTTCAGTAGCTCTGGTTATTTGGGGGCCTTTTATGAACGGATTGACCTCATTAACACAGCAGAACGTGCTTTTTATTTTTCTGGATTCATTTTCTACCAGGATGGGTTGTGTAGGAGAGGAGAGGGGAAAGGAAAGATGGGACAAATAAGAAATATTTTTTGCAGTGATAGACAAGCTCTCTCTGTGTGTTAAAACCACAGGGTGAATAGAAAGCATTTGGATTAATATAAATCTAACTCGTGGGGCCTGAGGTGAATAAACTACTGGAGATAACTCCCTTCTTGCCCCACAGAGTAGACAAAGCCATGCCAGTGTATATACTCCGAGATGATGTTTCCAGCAGAGAGAATAGGTAGAGCTTTAGTCATCATAGAAACTTGCAAACTATCCCCAATTAGCTTTTTAGCTAAATGCCCCACGGCTGTTAATATTAAGGCATAAATTGCTGAGATATTTACAAAACACACTAGGAGAAAATCTGCTCCTGCTAAAACTACTCTTCAAATTTTCCCAGGAGGTGAGAGAAATAGCAGCCATATAGAAGCGTAGCAAAATCCTTGGTTTCAGAAGTGCTCGGGGAGAGCAAAGACATGAATCCACTCAGCCCTGCTCCCCCAAGACCCTGACTTTCTGTTTGCAACATGTCATGCACCTTCACCTCCGCTTCATCCCATGGGGCTCTTCTCATCTCCTGCCTTTCCTGAAGGAATGATGAACTGAGGACAGCTACTGCCTACAGCAGCACAGATGCAGTCTGCTTTTTTTTTTTTTTTTTTTTTTTTTTTTTTATATGTTTTTCATCAGAAAATATAAAAAGGTGGATAAATATTCGGGGAGATATGAAGTTCTTTGTATTGCCTTCAGCAGTCCAGAGAAAGAGACACCTGAGAAGGAAGGAAACTTTTCTCCTCTGTGTCACAGCCACCTCTCAGAAATCACACAAGCTATGACTTAGAAAACTCCATTCTTTGGGGTTTTAGCATCCAGAATTTACTTAATCCCTAAAATTACCCACATGTAAATCCTTTTTTTTGGGAGGAAATGAGTGCTATTATTTACCAAACTCCTTAAGGAGTTGAGTGCTATTATTTACCAAACTCTTTAAGGTCCTCAAGAAGAACAAATTTTAAATTAATCATGTCCTCCCATTAGTTTAGATCTTCTCCCTTGTGCATTTCCATGTTTATCCAAAGTCCTGATTCTCACTCCAGGATAGCTCCGGTTGTTGTTATCATGTAGCTCTGCACAGTGGGTTTTATTTACAAGATACTGTCTAGAGAAATGCCCAGGATTTCCTCTGGTGGACAAAAAACCCCAGTGATGGTCTTCGAAAGGTAATAAATCCATACATCCAGTGGCACTCAACAGCCTGAGTATATGGAGACAGCATGTCCTATCTGCTCCCAGTGCTCTACCCATGGCAGTTTGACAGGGCCCTCCCTGAAAGACTGCCAGCACTGTCATTTAGCAAGGTCACTTCTTCTTTGCTGGACCTTTGGCATTCCCACCAGCCTTGCCATTAGTTTTGGTGCCTGATTTTACTTCTTCACATTCTTTTTCACCTTTCTTCCCACCGCCTTTCTTGTCAGCAGTGTCCTTTCCCCCCTTTTCTCCCTTCTCTCCCTTTTCCCCTTTTTCTCCCTTTTCTCCTTCTTTCTTTTTGGTTCCATCCTTCCCTTCTTTCTCGGATCCTTCTTTCTGGTCCTTTTCACCATCCTTCTTCTTGGAGTCTTTGGACCCATCTTTCTTGCCCTGAGCCTTGTCCACTTTTCCAGATACAGTGGAGACTTCTTCTTTTTTTTCTTCTGCAGGCTGACCTGTATGCAAGGGTGGAAAAAGAAAACAGGAAAACAGTAAACTTGGGTTGGCACTAGCCAGGAAGATGGCAAAACTGCTTCTCACTTCTGGCAAACCTTGGACAAAGGGAAAATACTTCTACTGGGGGTTTGTCGGAACAGCTCTTTTGCTCACTGATTACCAGCTTTTCGTGTCTTTGTTTTGAGAAGATAGACTAATAGGATAAAGCAGAACTGGTAATTTCAAGAGCTGAGTTGTGGATCTATTGAAGGAAATGGCTCCTGTTGGTAGGAACTGATCCATGAACATTACAAGCACAGTCCATAAGCACTTCCCCATACTGACGTTCAATGTGGAGTTGTCTGCTTCCACAAGAAGGAACAGAAACACCTCTCAGGCAATTCAGTATGGACGTGTCTTAGGTTTGGCTTTTTTTGGTCGGTTGCCTTTTTCTAATTCTTTGTGTATGGGGTATGTCTCCTACAGCTGAGAGTGGACAGTAAGGATTCTGATGGGGATCTTTATTTTCAGAGAAAGACAAACAGAAGATGGCTTGCCCAGCACAAGACTACAAGGTAGGCTTAGCTTATGTTCTATCCACATTCAGTCACCGTGGGACTGGCTTCCCACCTGTGCTGCTGTAATTAATGGCAGCAACATACCAAGGACATATAGCAATTAACTCTAGTGCATAGTTATCCCTCTTTTGGTACGTTTTTAAATGCCATTTTAGTTATAGGAAGCTTATAATATCTTTATTATGGAATACTTTTACTTAGGAATATCTTGGATTCAGTTCCCACATTTCAGGTGAGAAGACTCATAAATATCACACTGGCTCTGCAGACTTTAATTATTTTGAGAAAGAATTTGGTAGCAGAAAACTTTTCCCTACCTTTCTTATTTTTATTCTCCTAAAAGTGGTTCATTTTCTCAAAAGTATTTCTGAAGTCAGAGCTTGATGCTCTAAACTCTTATCTCAAGCAGCAATTTGACACTTAAACACATCGTATTTAATATATTTCTTGTGGAATGTTTTTCCTTTGCTCAAGACCAGCAGAGTATGAAGTTTTGCAAAGTGAAAACATGTTAAATTTCCTATAACCTCCTTCTCTGAAAATCCCCAGTATAGGACTCATATGTGAATAGACAAGCATGTTAACACAACTTAATAATAAAAATCAGCCAAGATGTAGCAATGACCTAGGAAGGACCTCAACAAATGGAGGATGATTGGTCACTATTTAGCTTTCTTCAGCCAGCACTTATTTCATGTTTGTCACAGGCTACAAAACAATGACAGTGATCTGGAGTAGGAGGTAATTTGGTATGGGCCTTTGGTGAGATGTCTCAACCTTTACCTGGAGCCACTGGGATCCAATATGTGTAAGCAGCCCCAAATTTCCCATTGCTATGGGTGTCTGCAGTGTCACTTTCAAATCACAGTGAATCAAACCTGAATTTTTGACTTTTACCTAAAATACTCCTTTAGCGTACACAATAAAATAAAATCTCATCCGTGGGAACTAGCAATTCATCTGTAATACAAATGGGAGTAGAATGATACAGACTCTCTTACAATCGCAGGGGAAATCCTGACATCTCATTTAAAAAAAAAAAAAAAAAAAAAAAAAGAGAGAGGGAAGAATAAAGAGAACGCCACCACATTGTCTGCTTCCCTGACAAATATGGTATGAACAAGGTGAACTCCTAAAAAATGTCAGCTGGAGCATCCTCAGACCAGAATATTTGAAGATCTCTCAGGCCATGGACCCAGACAGTACATCTCCACCCAGAGCAAAGATCAAGTTCTGTTGGTACTTCTCCCACAGACTGGGAGACAGAGCACAAATTAATCACTTTAATATATAACATTTCACACACTGAACCCTAATATCTGTTTTATTTATGTCCAGTAAAAAGGGCTTGCCATATAATATATGACACTTTAAAAAGTACATGGAGAGCCATTTGGCAGTTAGAATATTCCATCATAGCAAATGCGAGTAAAATAATGCCAAGAAATTAAAGTATTTAAGCATTGTAATATATAAATGATTAATAACATCTGACACTTACAGAAATCTTTAACGCATTTAATGGCCACGCAGTAATTAAAATCACTCAGGTCACCTCTCTGGCCTTGACTGGGTCGACCAGGGTTTGTCACAGTAATAGTATATAAATAGTCGACCAACACATACGTTAGATTTCATGACTGCATAAGTCAAGGTGGTTACCAAATGTCAGTGGGACAACATGGCAGAGCATCACACTCTGTACAGGTAAAAATAACAACACAGAGATAGAGCCCAAAGGTTTGCACTTTCCACTATAATGCCTAAATCATGTAGTGAAACATTTCTGGGGCCAGGATGCCCACAGATCTCAGGAGGGAAAAGCAGTGGGTTTGATCACACATAGGTTTTTACATCCAACAGTTCAGGTGCTGACAGCTGAGTTGGTCCTTTTGGGTCCTCAGTTCTGGAGACATAGAAGCATTCTTAAGGCACAATTTACCTCTTCCACTTTAGCACCTCCCCTACCATGAAAGCAATCACATCCTTTTTATTTTCCACCATGGATAAAAGAATAAAGTCTAGACAACTAGTGCTGATGCAGACTTCTCTGTAGATGGGGATAATGCACCTGTGGATAGATGACTCAACCCCAGGACCAGTTATTTCAGGGCAATTTGGGCAGATCTGCCTAGTCCCAGAGGACTAGGAAATTCAGAGAATATGGATTCATTATCAGACATCACCGGCCACTCAGCAACATGTTATTCACCAGCCTCCTACCCTGCGCCATGCCAGGACCATAATTCTGGGATTCTTAAATGTCAAAGGGTGGTCAACTACCCAACTTATACGTTTAACTGGCTAAAAATTGTCCAACTACTCAACTTCTACATTTAACTGGTTAAAAAGTTTAGGTCTTCTACTCAACTTCTACATTTAACTGGTTAAAAAGTTTAGGTCTTCTACTCAACTTCTACATTTAACTGGTTAAAAAGTTTAGGTCTTGAGGGTTCAGATGACTTTGTATAAATTGCTTTCTTCTAGTAATTTATTCATGAGTTCATGCTGCAATAATTTACCATGGTCTGATTAAATCTACGCCAAAGTAGCCAGCCTTTGAACGGAGTACATGTACATCTTTGTGGGATGTAAAGGCTGCAGAGGAGATCAAAATTTATTAGCATTCTGGGGTGAAATGGTCATTCTGCTGTCCAGATACCCTTTCTGTCTCTTTTGGATATCCTCATGTATAATTTATTGTTTTTTTCAGAAGTAACAGTGAGGCAGGAAGAGGATGCAGCAGCAAATGAGTGAATTTGGCTGTCTGCTATCTACAGGCATGATCCTTCACACCCTCTGGGATCTACTGATAGGTGGTCCTTATGGAGTCAGAATTTGGTCTTTTGGGCAGGAAATCAAAGGATATAATACTAAACACTTCCATGTGTGTTTGTTTATACATGTAAGAGTGCACTAACTAGACATTTGGATGACCTTTGACTTTAAAATGGGTCAAGAGAATTTAACTGTACTGACAAGGGCTTATTCATGCCAGTTGGGTTTAGCTCCAGAGAGTGGTCTGGCAATCCTCAGTATAGTCATAGTCCAATGTTGAAACACCTCTAAAATCCTGAGGTATGTGCAAATTCCTACTGTTAAGCACTTAGTTCTGTATTTTGCTGGTGTAGGACTAAATTTCTACAATTATGTTATCTGCTTCTTTCACCAGTTTCATGAACTGAAGCATCACATTTTGAGTTAAGGAAATTTCCAGTTCCTATGAAGCTATAGACCACAGGGCTTGCAGAGACTCAGGAAAGATAAAAAAATATGTTCATAAAAAGGGTTCATAAAGGAAAAGAGAGGTCAATTGCAGAAAGGGAGCTGAGAAGCGGAGAGTCTAAGGTATGACAGATCTCATCAGAAAAGAGAAGCCACAGACAGACAGACAGGAAGGCAGACCCCTAATTTCCTTGCAGGGCCATTTCGTCTTCTTCTTTCACCACAGGCAGAGAGTTGAGAGGTCTGGACTGGACAGGACCAGAGAGAGTTAGGAGAGTTTCAGTAGAGCCTAGGGTACAGAATCAGGAAAGATGAGTGAGAGCAGCAGAGACCAGTGACAGAAATACTTGCTGTCCAAACAGGGCAAGCCATTTATGGCTAGTGTGAAACTCTAACAATTTTCTTCCTACTCATATCCCCCAACCCAGGAACTGGCCCTTAAAATGAATCAGACTCTCTGGAAATTTTAAACACTCACTTCAAAGGCATGAGCCCAACTTGTACCAATGGAGAAACTGTCCCTTTCAACTAAATGACTGTGCCTGCTGCCACAAATGCTGCAGGTTTAGTGCATGTGAATGGGAGGGGTTTAACAAGTCATGGCAATATCTAAATGGTTGTGCCCAAGGAGCCACACTGATTTACACTAAGGGAGGACCTAGCCCTTTGCATTCATGCATACAGAAAGCAACCCCAAAAGAAGAGATGAGTCTCATGTGTAGGTGTGGGCACGGGAGGTACCTCCAGGGATCTCGGTCAGCTCGTTGAGTGGTGGAACAGTCTCCAGTTTGTCTGCATATGTCTTGGCTGCTTGCCGTTGAGCATATCGTGCCTCAATCTCTTTCTTCGTCCGGGGAATCCGACACTTGAAGATGCAGCACAGTGTGATAACTGGGAAAGGAGAGAGGGAAGGAAGAGCATTCAGTTCAGCCAGCAGATCTCTGTTTAGTACAGGCTGGCCCATTTACAGTGGGGAGACAGCAGGAAGAAAAATTAATTTCAGAAGAGTTTCTTCCAGTGGGAACCTGTAGCCATTTGCATCGGTAGAAGTACCTGCCTGGGGGATATGGTCACAGTCTAAAGCAAATGAGTTACCTGAAAATAAATTATCATTCTTCAGGTGAGCTGTGGTAAAGGACTGAGCATGTCTTTCCCACCAAAACCAGGGTAAACCATTGCCTTAAACCATATATGCCACTGGTGTTTCTGAGAATCAGAGCATCATCAAATTAAATTCATGATCTTGATGGAAATGATATCAGCAGCTAAGATGTACCACCACCCTTCAACGGTGTGTTATTGCTAGAGTTTCCTCACAACACATCTTTGCCATTCATATTTGTGGCAGGTAGATGCTGGGGCTGTGGATCTCCAGCTGAAGAAAGCAATGAGGAGTTTGGCATGGAAACCCTCCAAAATAGATCCACAACAAGCAGTCAATACATGCCTTAATTGAATTTCATGCAAATGCATTTAGGGCAGGCCTAGAACTCAGGTCTCCTAAATCTCCCCATCATGTTCTTACTATTCCATCATTCTCCTTTCCATGAGCTAGGCTTCTTTGCATGTCTTAAGTATGCAGGTGATGCTTTTTCTCCTAATAAGATCTATTTTTTCTTTCATGCTTAAACCTATATGTTATTTCTGAATTTCCATCTGCAAATCTAATCATGATTCAGACAGTTCATTGTAAAGAAATCAATATCAGTTTGTTTCCCAGACTAGGAATTCACAGGCTCGAGCAGATCACTGCTTCATCCATGTACTATTTCTGACAACAACAAAGAAGCAACTTCAGGGAAAACTCAGAAACAGGTAATCATAAAATTAGTTGGCCCACAGGCCATAAACACATGTCAAGAAGTATGAGATCTCATGGTCACGGTGAAATTTTGAGTTGCTTCTTTGTAGGCATCTTTAAAATAGTTTGAGGGATTCTTCTGTTCTAAATAAAAGTTCAACTTTCCAACCTACATAAGTTCTTAACCGTGTTGATATATCGTATGGAAATGGGTTCTGCAGGCAGGCAGAGCCTTGTTCTTGGAAAGATGTTGTCTTACCAGTTTTACATGGCCTGTCTCTCATTTTAACTCGAGTTCCCCCATGCCACATCAGTGCTACAAGAAAGGAGCAAGCATCCAACTTTTGGGCATGTAATCTCATCTGGCTTTATATCACTATGAACAACGTATTAGACCTTTGAGACTCATCCAAGGAAATGAGAGAAATAATCTGTATGTTTCGTTCCAAGCGTGAGCATTTCTCATTCACCAGAAGTCAAACCATTTTGCAGATAGCCTCCACAACACAAGCAGCCAGACCATTTGGTGGTGTAATTTTTTTTCCCTAAAAGATTGCCCTGTACCTGCTCAGCCTCTCCTAAGTCAAGAGGCATCACGCTAACTAGAAACAAGCTCTGCATGATCTCTCCGTATCACAAAAGAGAAAAGTGAAGTAGTAAAACACTTTTCTCAGTGTTTTGAGGTTGGTGTAAAGTTACCAGTCAAAATGTAGTAGCTCCTCTATCCCTTTTCTGAATTTGCTGCTCCCCTTAAACAGTTTGCTGCGGAGGTGCTGTAGTGGAATCACGCTCAGAGCTATCTAAATGTCACAACAGGATGAGACACCTGAAACCAAAGTGAATTGCCTAAACCAACATGAAATTGAAATAATCTGTAATTGTGGAAGCAATCAAGATGCTTTTATCCTTGCTCTTCCATGAGGGTCATCAACAAGCTGAGGGTAATTGAGCTTTTATTTGTCTTGCAAAAGAAAAGCAAGGTACCCATAAGTCATTGTTGGCAAGCACAACACGGGCAGCCTGAAAATGGGTAACATACCACATCTGGAAAGCACAAGGTTGGATCTGCTCTGCTTTCAGGACAGTAGGATTTCATTGTGCACCTGCCCACAGAGCCAGCTACAGCTGTGTCACAACCATGAGACAGCACAGACCTTTTCAAGCTAGCAGATAAAAAAATACCCAGTAGCTGCGCAAGGACTCAAGGCAAGGCCAGACTAGACACGACCGCATTTTCAGCAGGGACAGCAAGCAGGAAGACAATTTACTGGGGAGAATGGGGTACGTGCTTTTTCTCTAACCATTTTAAAATCAAGATGTCGTGTTTTCCTAAAATCGCTCTGGAATTGAGCCAAGACAGGAAATCCTCTACTCACATTTGAGAAAAACTTGCCAGGAAAATTAGCACCGTATTTCCTGGAGACTGATAAGCAATAAGGCTGTCAGCTTTCAAGTAAGGCACAAAGAGATGGGTCAATGCCCTTGAAAGTCAAAGATAAAATGCCTGCCAACATCACAGTAGTTGGCTCAGCCCTGCAGGAAGGAGTAGGGGTTGTTCTATATCTCATAACTCTACCAAGCACAAAAATGTTAGTGACAACATGATAATCACGAGCTGAGCTCTCTGTTCAACTTTCTAGTGGAGATGAAGTGTTACACTGAGGTACTGGGGACTTATGTTGTCTTGGGGTGTGAAATGATTGATAATCAGCTGCCATGGAAGCAAGAGGCTTATGATGAAGTGAGAAACTTTAACAAAATAGATGCAGGGCTTCCAGCAGGGTGGGCTCTCAGCAGGATAAGGTCTCAGCAGGATGGGCTCTTGAGATAAGGGAGGAGCTGCAACTACTGAGTCCCAAGATAAGAAACTGGGATTCAAGGAATGCTAAATTGACATGCAGAAAAGACCTAACTGGGTGAAAAGTCACAAGAGAAAGAGGAGGCATCTTCAATCTTCATCCTGAAGACCCTCGCCCAAGACCACCAGGAGACACAAAGGGGAGGGACTTGGGGCGGGATTTATGATAATGAATTCTCAAAACTAATTGTTACTTCTCTCCCTATTCTTGGGATTATAATGAATATGTAAACGTCTTACACTATAGAAAGGAGCTACTTTTCACTCCGAAATGTGCACGCTTGTGGAGGAGCGATCCCCCGTGCACCCAGTGCTGAATAACATACCTTCTTTATAACCTTACTGGTTGGAAAGTCATTATTCTGCACGCCAATGTGAAAACAATTCAGTACTATTCCCATCTCCATCCTCCTTGCAAGCTGTGCTTAAATTAAGGTTCAAGCCATGCAGGGGGGTATGTATTGGATTGAATGCCATTATCTGTTTAAAAGAATAGGCCAGTGAATAAGATTTTGGTACAGGAGTTTTAGAACACTGAAACTAATGCCAGGAATGATCACTTCATTGCTAATGGGAAGATATCGCCTGTTGCATAACTTTGTTTTTCCCACCAGGTCAGACACAGGAGACAGTGGGTAGAATTCATCTGCTCTGCTTTGTGTGTCCCAAAGCTAGAGATGACACTCTCAGTCACTCCAGGCTCCCTTTATTACTGATGGGGAGAAAGAAGCAACTCTGAAGGGTGATTAATCGCATCTTAAAACAGAAATTTAAGGTATGTCAAATAAATCATATTCTGACACTGTCTTTCTCTCCATTAACTACAAAAAGAGCTTGGAGGTTGGTGGAAGAGCTGGGATTCCCTGGAGTGAGAGCCAGGGGCTGGAAAATGTGTCCTAGGGCTTCCCAAAGGGCATCAGAGATCGGGTGCAAACTGTTCCCTCAGTTAGAAGAGGTGGATCTTATATTTTGGCAGTTAAGAGTGACATCTTTGTTATTAGAAGTTTGGAGCTTTCTTAGCACCATTTCTGTTGTGTCTGGTAGATAGTTTAATTTTTTTCCTGCTTCAGAACGGTGAGATTATATTTGCTCCACTGATAATTTTTCTACCAAGTGAACCAGAAAGCAGTGTAACCTGTAATGTTTCCTGGGCTTTTGTTGATGCCAAGGTTAACAATATATTCCACTAGAAGAACAGAGATGTTTTTGTTCTGAAGACAACCTGGAAAACTGAACATGCCTGTAAGGGTCCTAAGAGCATCCTCACCACCATGATGCTTTCTGGGGTTTGGCTGCCCAGGTTCTGGGACACATGAGAAGTAACGTGGCTGGTTGCCTTCGAAGGAGGAGTTAGAAGAAGCCTCAGTGGAGGTTCCCCTTTTCTATTCTCAGAGTGACTCTTAAACTGATGCTCTCATGCCTGGCCCTCACTGGAGGTGCTCTGCAGTGGATGTTGTAGCTGTGCCCATGCCTGGCCATGTGTCTCATTGACCCAGACCTTGACCCATGGACATGGTTGTCTGGTATCACCTCAGACCTGCTCCATCACTACCAATGTGGCTGCATCCGATGCCAGTTACACTTAGCTGTTGTGTGAGGGTGGTTGGTAATGAGGATCGCTGTTTAAAAATGCCCATTCCTATAAGATAGCAGATCAATAAATTGGACTGTACTCCCTTACACGAGAGTTAAACTTTAATACCCTATAAAAGCTTAGTATGTGACATGGTATCAATTGAGCATGTTAACTGACAGGCCCGTGTTCTCAAGGTAGAAGAATTACAACATTCTTAAAAAAAAAAAACCAAAAAAACAACCAACAAACAAACAAACAAACAAAACACTAAAACACTCCACGAGGTTTATATGAGCAATAAAAGTAGCTTTAAAAGGTTTTTGTTTGGGATATGAATATGTGCAGGAATATTAGTTGCAACTCAGTTTCAATAGTGATAGCTTGATCACTCTTGATTCTGGGTCCACAGGATGAAGTATTTGGGGAACCAGTTGGCTTGGATGTAACCTGAGAATTTATTATTATGCTTTTTTTCTGGCAGGCAGATGACCTGACTTCAAGCCTTGAATACCTGATTTATATTCAACATTCACCAATTCTTTGATTCCTGAGGTGAATGCTTTACTCACCTTGCTATCGAGCACTATTTAGTCCCTTTTTTTCATGCCGTGGGTCTCCTTTTCCTTTCCAGGATTTCAGCTTTCATTTTAATTGTC